ATATATATATATATATATATATATATATATATATATATATATATAATAAATAATATATATAATATATATAATAAATAATATATATAATAAATAATATATATAATATATATAATAAATAATATATATAATATATATTAGGGGGACCGGAAAGTAAAAAATGTCGTTTCTGTGCATATTTATCTGTTTGAATTTAATGTAAACAAACGACATAGCTTTCCGGTCCCCCTAATATAATATAATAATATATATAATATATGTAATAGAAATAGCTATAAATAAAACGTCGAATTATTCGAAAAGACTTCTACAACGATCTCGAGATATACAAAACCCGTTGCGCGCATTTTCGTTATAGGTTAAAATAAAGAAATTATCGAAACGCCGCTTATTTTGTTATTCATCATCAATCGAAACCTTTGCAAACATTTTTCTAGAATATTGTCTAGAAAATTAATAACCACGTTCTATTAACACAATCAATTAAACTTCTGTTGCAGCAACTTACCAAGAACCGCTCGTTCCAAACGCTTAATATATTCGCTGAGACTACTTCGACACATAATTAACACGATACAAATAATACTTTTATCACTTAATCGAGGAACACAAAACACCCTTTTCGATAGCATGCCGCCATATTGGTTCACCGGATGCGCGGTAAAAATTTCGCGGAGGAGAGATCGCGCCGAAGTTGTCGATCTATCGATACTACGTCACGCGGTCGAAAAATCAAAGATGGCTGTGCCGGCACCGGAGGAGGAACTGCGCGTCGATTCAGCAACAAAAATGTGTTAAATTGTGTTGATTAAATAATGTCAAAGTTGCGTGAGTAAACGTATTCCGATTTAGACGTCCCAGTGTTATGTTTGTATTAAGTGCAACGATGAAGACAACTATCTGCGTGGACACGAGCTGTCAGAGGAAACGAGCTTGCATCGAGCACCTGCACGCTGCTGTAAGTGGGCTTGAAACGTTCGAGAAACCAGCGCATGGTGACGTACAATCTTCTCATATACGTACTTCTTATATAACGATCATAACTGGATATATAATCTTGACATAACCTGTATTATTTTTAGCCTGACTATAATATTTGTTGGACTAGGAGTTCTAGGAGTTAGTAATGCTGGGCAGCTGTTAGGATTTAATAATTTAGTATTTAATATTAGCATTTAGTATTTAATATTAGTATATAATATATAATATAATATAATATTAGTATATCGCGTTCATAGAATAACTTCAACCGTTCGGTGAGCGCTTGCTTACACATCGATGTGTTACGAACAACACAACTGCGTCTTGCAATTAGAATATAGATACGTAGGCACTAACACTAATCAGAAACTACGTCGTTGTACTCTCATCGATAATATTGGGAACGATCATCGTCGATCTCACCAACGATATTTATATTTATTGAAAGACAGAGATTTGTAAACTAATAAAACTGTTCCGCGGAGAACTTAGTCTTATATCATAGTATTAAATACTGCAGACCAGGAAAACTACAGTAGGAGTTAGACACCTTGCGGCAGGTAGGTGGCGCATTAGGCTGTAAGTATACATAAGGGCGTTTCTTCCGGCGTTTTGTAGACGCGTTTTCTTCGTCAATTGTCACGCAGTATTTGTCACGTAGTTATTACATCTCGAACTATTCAATTTATCCAATTTTGAGGAAGTTATTGCACTCTAGAGGGTCGAATTTCACTCACTGTATATATAAAAAAAAATGCGATCGAGAAGTAAGATTTCCTATCGCGTGAAATCAATCGAACAGCGCTGAAGGGTCATATGTCGCGCACTCTTATCGATAATATAGAAACGATCATCGTCGATCTCACCAACGATCATTATATTTCTTCAAAGACAAAGATTTGTAAAGTAATAAAACTGTTCTGAAGAACGTAGTCTTATATTATTAGATTAGAGTATTAAATACTGCAAACCAGGAAAACTACAGTAGGAGTTAGACATCTTCTAGCAGGTAGGTGGCACATTATGCTGTAACTATACATAAGGGCGTTTCTTCCGGCGTTTTGTAGACGCGTTTTCTTCGTCAATTTTCACGTAGTTATTACATCTCGAACCATTCGATTTATCCAATTTTGAGGAAGTTATTGCACTCTAAAGGGTCGAATTTCACTCACTATATATATAAAAAAAAGTGCGATCGATAAGTAAGATTTCCTATCGCGTGAAATCGATGGAACAGCGGGGAAGGGTCATATGTCGCGTGAACTTCGTGTTCAGCCGGTGTTCCAATCCTCATAAACACGAGCCCGCGCCTTAAGCCAGAGTGCAGAAGGTCTCCGATCAAAGGGCGGCGTTGCCGAGGGGAGTGGCTATTTTGTCGAACGAAATGGAAACAACGTGTTCAGATATACCTTCCCACGAGCGTCCGCGACACGCGGGATTACCCTGGCCGCCCTATACTCCGTATCGCGCATGGGACAGGGTGAAACAGTAGGGTTTACGATGGAAAAAGAACGAACGGGTCGACCGCTAGCAGAGGACAGGGGCAGCGCCGCTAATTAAATATATATCTCTATAAAGCCGGCGTTCCAGTTTTATCCGGGCGATATTTTTTCCCGGCCAACGATAATACTCTCCGTTCTCCCATTCGTTACCGCCAAAGGGAACAATTAACTCGGTCCGCGTCGTCGATTAATTTATCGCCAGCCGTTTCTGCATTTAAATGCGCCTGTTCCCGGTCCGACCGAGCAACAACCATTACATCCTCCGGCAGCTCGTGTTTCTCCTTCGTTGTTCTAACGCGCTCGGTTCGCGCTATGGGGCGTATCGAATCGTCGTCGTCGTCGTCGGTGCTTCGGAAAATCGGGAAATATTCAAAACCGCGGGCGAACGTCCTTCCACCGAACGACAGCTTTTAAGGTGAAACGGAGAACTCGTCTCGAGTGCACTGTTCAACGATAAACGGGTAAACTCGACCGGGACTCGGTCGGGAAGCAGAGAACAACGGGCCGTGCCGGTTCGGTTGCGTAAATCTGTATAGAAAGAACCGTCGGTGGGCTTGGGTGGGCGTGGGTGGCCGACCCGAGAGTACCGTTGACGATACATCCCTCCAGCCCCTCGCCCCTGCTCGCCCGGTTCTCTTTCCTTCTCGTGGCACAGAAAAATATTGACGTTCGCCGGACGCAATCTTCCAGGGAACTGGAGCCGGGGAACGGTTACCGGTACCCGGAGAACCGGCACCGTTTCGGAACGCGCGGTGAACTGGCTTTATTGATCTTTCGAAATCAGGAGGACGGTTAATCCGACCGATCCACTGTCCTCCCAATTAAAAGATAGAATCGAGGAGAGGAGAGGGAATCGAGAGAGGGTGGGTGGGGATTGCGACGCGGGTCGGGGCATTCGGCTAATTGACAGCTGCCGGTATCGGCTGTCGATTTCTAGTCAACCACAATTTATTTTAATTTCCTTCGGCAGAGATAGAAACGTCGGTTTTAGAAACAACCACTCGACGTCTCGCATTTTTCCCCCCGTTTCTTCTCTTTCCATCCACCGTCCGCGCCACCCTCTTTCTTTCTCTCTTCCTCCCCGATGCCCCCTCGCCGCTCTATCCTTCCATCTTTCTCCGTCGATCCGGCCCGCGCGCTCTTTTTCATCGTACTCATTCGCATTCAAATTTATTCGAACATATAACACACACACGCGCGCGCGCGCGTATATATATGTATATACGGGTATGTACAGAGGGATGAGCGCGCGAGCGCGGTATGCTTGACAGGAATGCATTCGCGTGCAACGAGTAAAAAGAGCTGGCAGTTCGCGGAGCGTGACATTCGCTCTTCTTCCCCTTTCTCCTTTCTTTTTTTTTCCTCATCGGTGCATTATTCGACGCATTGCGGCTGCCTACGCTTTTTTCGGGATGAAACGCGAGCGTCGTTCTCTGCTCGACGCCGTCCCTCAACCTCCCTTTCAGCGCACACGCGCGCGCGCGCGCGCGCACACCTCGTTCTCCTTTTCCTCCATCCGCGCGTTATGCCTCTTTCGCCGAGCCGTCCTTGCTCGCTGTCGTTCGATCTCCCTTTCGCTTTTCCTCCATCACTCGACTTTTCCCGACTTTCTCCGGTCAATTAGCGGACGAGTACACGTAAAACGTCGGGCACCGTCTACTCGATCCCTCGAGCACCCTCCCGACACCCCTGTGTGTTGGCGCCGGGGAATCGCGGGCTCGATGCCGGGTCGATTTTATTGCGGCAAATTAACGCGCCCTGGCTCCCCGATATATCCCGCCTGGAATATGTACGCGCCGAGCAGAGCTCCGCGCGGAATTGCGGCGGATATAAATGGAAGATATGCGCGCGATACGCGATTACAGAGAAATATATTAATTAAACTAGGCGCCGCGCGTGTAACCGATACGTAGGCTGCAGAGTTTTTGCGTTTGCAACGCGCACCGGTGCCCCAAAAATCGATCGAAACCGGAGCCTGGCTAATTTCCAATTAAACGTCTCCGACGCGCGCCGCCTCCGCGATACGTTTTATCGATGCTCTTGGGAATTAGCTACCGAAGCCGTTTACATCTGCCCGAGACGTGGGTTTTTCGATGTTTTGTCGCACTACTTTTTTTTCTACTTCCGATCTGTTAATTGCATCTAGAGATCGGAGTTCGCGCGCTATTTAGAAATCGGCTCGATCCGTGGCAATCCGTGTGGAAAACGATTTACAGTAATGTCTCCCTTACTGACGCTCAGATTGTCCACTGAAATGGACAATTTGGGAAGAGGAGACACGATTATTCGAGCCTTGCGGCTCGTTTTTATAATTGTGGACAATTCATAACTATAAAAGTAAACCGCAAGGCTGGAATAATCGTATCTCCGCCTCCCAAATTGTCCATTTTTGCGCGCAATCTGGGCGTCAGTTAGGGAGACATTACTGCATATTGCTTTAAATATGCACGAAATATTAAAAGATATTTCGAGTTATTCAATTTCCTAGAATTCGTACGTGCACGTTATTAAGAAAAAATCAGTTCGCATACTTTTCTTATTGCTTGATACATCCATCTCTTTGAAACAGCTTAGGTCGTTCTACCAAACGATTCTCTTGGAGTTGTTTCACTTCTTGGACAAAGAAGATTTTCAATTTTCCCTCAACATTTTCTAAAGACTAAACGCTGGTATATTGAAATTAACTACAAAGTTTCTTCGTTATTCCTCTAAGGAATCCTTTGTGTTGCGTAGAAAATAAAAATTCTCCGAAGAGCAGCATAAAGGAGTTACACGAAATGGCAGAAAGCTAGCAGCGAAAAGTAGATGAATAAAATTTAATTAGACGAAGTAAATACGACGAGACAAATAAAGTATGATTTATTCTAGTCAGACTAAATTACTGAGACAGTCTGAGACGCTTTGCAACATGAAGTTTTCCTCTCCCAATCTAATATCTATTAATTCTTGCGCACGAGATTTTATTGCTGGATCTTTCATTCGAAAGTTGTATCTGTACCTCTTTCCAATTTCGTCGATCACGTCGATCGTGACAGAAGAGCGACTGCAGACTAATAGTTACATTGCTGTTAAGAGAGAAAACTGATCTTGCGATCCGCGTCTACATCCTGAAAATATCTTAATCGTCGAAACGTCGATAAAGGTCATGCACAATGTTCCGCGGCTAATAAGCTCGCATCGAAGGCGCAATTGTCTCCGGACCATCGGCTGCTTAATTTTCCATGCAAACATCCGGCGAACAGGCCGGCGTGGATTCGTTCGATTCCAGGCAGCCTCCGCAGCAGCACCGGCACGACAGCTATTACGTGTACCGCGTGCTCCACGAGAACCACGAAATCCTGGCCCTGGCGTCACACGTCCAAGGAGATTCCGAACTACGAATAGTTGACTGAAGTGTAGACGGGTCGGTCCATGGGAGAGGCTCCTCGTGCAAACTATGACGATTACGTCGACACAGTAGCAGCTCTGTCAACAATGATCCGAAGGAGGCGATTCGAATGCACGGCAGCCAGCGCAGCTTTGGAACTTGCTTGATTGCTTCCCCAAAATCGAACGAACTGGCCTCGACGTTCGGGATAAAACAGAAATTGTAGACATTGTCTGTCGATTCGAACTTCATCTTCGAACAAAGTCTGGCCACCTACACCGAGTGTCCGGGCACATTCGTCGAATGGAAAACGTCTCTACGAAATAGCCAGACGTTTTTATTTGCCGTCGAACTTGCTTCGATCCGACAGTTATCGCTGCCGATACTTTGGGGCGCGAGCTGCGCCCATATGGAACACGATATCGTGCGATGATCTTTTCAATGGTACACATCCTATGTGTGTACACTCTTTTTACCACTGTACACTTATCTACTTTATTACTTTCCTCGATCGGTGATCCAATTTTTTTATTCTACCATAATGGCCGCGACGGAACCGACCACGCTTCGTTCATAATTTCACATCTCGGGTTAATATGCATTAAATTCAGTTATGGAGAAATTGAACATTTTAATATCCGGCATATCAGCAGTTTGGTTTTTGTTCTTTGCGCTTGGCTACCTTGAAAGGCAGTGCTAGAAAAGGCAATGCAGAATAAATCCAATGGAAATAAATGGATCGTTTAAACGAAGTCTGTGTACACGTTTGTGTAAATTATATAATGATTTTAGCAACCGTTTCTATGCTTCTTCGTTTCCATGAAAGCGCCGATGGCGCTAATTAGCACCGGCACAACGCGTTCATGGAGGGGAGAGACGTTCGATGTCAATTTTGAACAATTTACGGGAAGAAAGAAGTGCTGCAGGTCGGTCGTTAATTCGAGGCGGCAGGTTTTCCGGACGAAGCAACGGCAGGCGCTAGTTTTTATTTTATTACCTGGCTGCGCGCGATAAAATACAAGCTCGAGAGCCGTCGAAGAAACAAGTGTTCGTAAACTA